CGTTCGAGTCCAAAGTGACCTCCGTATACGCGGTACAACACTCCCGACGACGAACCAAAACCAAAAAACAAGTGCCATCTGTAATAAATTGGATAAAAACTATAAAAGGATTACAAATACTTTGTAAACGCCTCCTCAAAGATGGTTTCAAATTTATACTTTTGCGGAACTTCAACCAGGATCCTATAGAAAACTTTTTTGGTTCAATCAGAAGTCACGGTTTGCGCAATATAAAACCAACTTGTGCAAATTTGATCTCTTCCTTCAAGTCATTAGTTATTAATAATATTACGTCAAGTCATTCAATTGGATCAAATTGTGAAAACGATGACTGCGATGGAGCATTGGATAATTTAAAAGAATTTTTATTTAATGATAATCTAACTGGTATTCATCCTCTAGAGGATACTGAAGTCATTACATTGGAAACTCCTATTCCTAATCAACCACAATATGATTTAATCAATTCAAACAGCAGAGCATATGTCACTTGCTGGGTCATGAAAAAAATTAAAAAAATTACCAAAAATTGCAATCATTGTATGACAACTATAAAATCAGATGTAGTTTTGAAAGAACATATGGTTATTCAAGCCCGTAGGTATGAAGACTGTAACTTACAATATCCCAATGAAGAAGCTATGAATATTTTTAGTTACGTTATACAAATGTTTAATTTTAATTTCCATAAATTTGTGTTCAAGAGTAACCTTAAAAAATCTCTTAATGAATCACTTATTCAGTATTTACCACTTAACTATTTAACTTGTCCTTATCATGATTTAACTGAAATATTTATAAAAACAACAACTAATTTGCTAATTTATTCCTATATAAAACATATCAACCGAATACTAACTAAAGGTGAAAAATGTAATACAACTGATCCAATAATAAAATACGCTGTTGTATATCATGACTAAAGACCGGATTTAATTGCATTAAAAACACTCAAAAATTGCATAATAAAATTGTATAATTGCACCAAAAATCCCATAAAAATTGCAAAATAAATTGCACTATAAAAATGCAAGTCGTATTTATATATTCATTAATTAATATTACATTAATTACATTTAATATTAATTTTACATTTTTGAATTAAAATTGATGATTAAATACATTTCTAAATTATTTTCATTAAAATTAAATCTTCTATTACTCAAAATATGTTTGTACAACGAGAAACTACGTTCTACGTCAACACTCGTTATTGGTGCATATTTAAAACAATTTAATAAAGTAGGCGTTATATTATCTAAATTAACATTTACTTTACCTGACATGACTTCATAGTAACACTTTAAAGTTTTATACCCATCATTTTTTTTAATTACATACATACATTTTTCCTTAATTTTTTCCCCTTCTGGACCAGGAATATTTGTTAACATATCTTCAATTTTTCTAAAAATATCCATACTTTTCAGTAGTTCACTATTAGATTCTTCCAAATTTTTGAGATTCGTGCATAACTCAGATAAGTGTAATTTTATGAATGCTAAACCACATTTGACTGCATTATCTTGTACAAGCAGTTTCAGCTTTTCGACACTTAAAGCATCATCTGTTAAAGCTTGATTAAATCTGATAGCTTTCGTAGTCGTTATTATCGCTAGTCACAGTAATTTGAGATAGAGAATTCCAGACGAGCGATAAATAACATAGATAATACTCCTTTTTACTTATAAGATCATATTAATCAAACCAAAAATAAAAATCCACAATAATGTTATTATTTTTATATTATAAAATTAGTTAAGGAATATTGATTTGTACATTTGTTTACGTGAAATATACAAAATTGAAAAAAATTGCAAAAACATTAAAAATTGCAATAAATTGCAACATAAAATTAAACAGAAAGACAGTAATTAATACAAATCGTGTACATATTTGATCAGATTTGATTTATCTTAACTACAAAAAAAGTTGCAATATCAATTAAATCCGGTCTTTAATCATGACAAACATGCAAAAAAAAAAAAATTTATTGAGACAAAATGTTAATTATGTTTAATTCATTATATTATGTTTAATTAATTATATTATGTAAGTAATTTTAAAATATATGTTATTTGTAGTTTATGTTCCTATGTATAATTGTTACAAAAAAAAAAAATTGAATAAATCAATTATGTTTAACAATTATTTGTGTTTTATAATTTAAAGTGTAACCTCTTCTAAAAATATTAAATATATCAAATAAAATGATATTATATTATAATAATATAATAATAAATAAATAATAATCGTCAATCGATAACATATATATCGATTGTGTAAACTATCGATATTTTGAAATCGAAAATATCGATCGTTAAAACTCGAGACAACCACGGGGAGCGCTAGTATAGAACCGTGTATCAAGATGTTGTGTGGGAGTTGCCTTTCTATCACGGACTAAGATATACAGGACTGGACATGAGATGAATATTGTGGTTACGAAATGTATTACAACAGGCGGAGTTCGGGGGTATATTTTCCTTTTAGCATTACTAGCGCTGTCTTAGTGGATATTTATGGAACTAGAAATTTGTATGATGTGTTCTAGTTCTATAAGTATCCACTAAGACGGCGCTAGTAATGCTAAAAGGAAAGTATCCCGCCGAACACCGCCTGTTGTACTACATTTCGTAGTCAACCCCCCACACCCTCCAATCTTGTCGTGTCCAGTCCTGTATATCTTAGTCCGTGCTTTCTATATTTTAATCTCTTTTCTATGGGCACGCGTCACTGTCGCCGCGCGTTCGACCGAAAATTATCGCTAACAATAGGTTTAAAAAAAAAACAGTTTTGGGCATTCGTGTAGCAGGTGATCTACATCTACTACCTCTTTTTAGGTGTATCAGGTGATCTACCGTACTATACAAGGTGTAATTGGTGATCTACAATAATTGTAGATATTATATTATTATATTATATCGATGGTGAAACGGCAAAAGGGTCTAAGCGACATAATTCATTATTTTCAGGAGAGCCGAAAAACTTTTTTTTGTGATTTTAATCATTTTTTTTTTTTCTAAATAAGCTATAACTTTTTTACAGTAAGAATAGGGTATTATTTTGTAGAATATTTTTTTTTTGTTTATATCTCCTTCATGTGTATTCATATTTTTAATAAGTTTTTGATTATTATTTACGTGCATACGGCAATTTGAAAAAAATTGTTCAATATTTTGGCACTTATGCCCTATTTTTTTTTTACACTATTTATCTACGGCGCTTATGCCCTAATTTTTTTCTACATTTGCCTGTGCATTTATCGAGATTGTATTATTGTAATTATTTATAGTGATTACTATTTTTATTTCAGACCAATAAAATAATATTAAAATATCACGTCATTTTCACATGTTTTTTTTTAAAATAAGATGTACACAAATATTTTCCGCAAAAAAAAATATGAATCTTTATTAAAATATTATTATGATGAAAATAACGAAAAAAAAATTGTAATTCTTTAGAACATAACATAAAATTTAACCTTTTCTTCAAACTTAATTGAAAACAAATAATAAAAAATAACTTATTTCTAGACTTGACTTTGTACTTAAATCTATAAATCAATGGTTAAAATAAAAAATTACTTACATTTTTAATCATTAAAATAAATAATCACTATTCCTTTGTTAACACTTAGGTAAAAATTGAATAAATGAAATAAATGATCTAGTCTGAGTCGTACAAATTCGTGTACAATGACACCACGCATAAACGTCGCTTGTCCCCTAAAATATTGTGCTAATGTCGTTTATTCCCTATTGTTGTCGTTTAGACCCTTTATTACAGAAGACAAATATATAAAGTGTCGTTTAGACCCCAAATTTAAAATTCAAATATTCGTTGTTATAATGGTCACAGCTGATTTTGCGCACGCGCAATGGACGTAATATATATTTTTCTATCCAATAGTATAAGCCGTGTCGCTTAGACCCAAAGTGTCGCTTAGACCCTTTTGCCGTGTCACCATCGATATAATATTATACGCACATTATCGCAAACCGCAGTGGGACAGTATTTCAATAACGATATAATATTGTGTATCTATATATGATGTGAGTGCAAGCACGTACACTAAAACAAATAAATTAACTATACAACTATTAATAAATTTTTTTTTTTTGAGGGATGGTGAACCCCCAAAATCCACTCTGTATTATACATTAAACAACAATTTGTTTCCTATACTTACACGCGCGCTATAATATATTTAGTATATCTGCAATATATATATATAGATATATGAAGATCAGAATCTAATATTATATTATTTAAATGTGATAAAAATTATAGAAAATAAATATTTTTACTTAATATTATTTTATTATTTTAAAATGTATAGAAATACATATTAAATAATAAACATTATTTGGATATGTAATTAATCTTTTATTAAAAATCTTTTAAATTTAGCATTTTTTTAATATAAAAAAAATATATTTTTTAAAAACATTGGCGACAGACGAAAAGACAGTCAACAAGTGTGACAGTAAAACTATTAATAAACTTTAAACCTTACCAATTTTATTGACAATCTTAATAATATTATAATACATGTATACCAATAACGATAATATTATAATAACAAGATAAATGTACATGAACATTGTGGTCACCGACAAGAAGGACGTCAGTCTTATCTGATTTATCGATCATTTTATTATATTGGATAGTAAAATAACGATATTGTACATGATATTTTGTACAATTTGTCACATTAACGAAGTGATGCCAGGGAATGTATAAACTAACTAGTTAAAGTATAAACTATATACGTGACCTACAAGTTTTAGTTATTTCATAAGCTAACTGGTTCAACACGTTAACTGTAATATGTATATATATAATATTACAATATCAGGTTTGATAAACTGCAGGTAAATAGTGAGTAGGTAAATAGACGTAAATATTTCTGCATTACCGTTTATTGTTATTAAAACGTAAATTTATTACTTGTATGTAGTTACCACACACATCTATAATTTGTTAAAATAATGTTAAATAATTTCCATCCGATAGCAGTGATGATGGTTGCAGTTCTTGGGGCAAATCCTTCCGTCGTACTCCCAAAAAGAGATATTTTCGCGATTATTCACTGAGCGACCATACGTAAACAATATAGAATCCACAGCTGCAGCGATGACTCGACAAATATCGGGTGGAAATTGAGGTCTTTTGTTCAAATGGCTCATATTAAGATTGACCACCAAATTAGTAGAATTTCTGGAAAATGACGCACTATTACTAGAGGTGGTATCGTTTTCGCTAATTGTCGTCGTCCGCAACGTCTTCCAGGCAATGCTCTCCCTGTTTTGTCGAGTCATCGCTGCAGCTGTGGATTCTATATTGTTGACGTATGGTCGCTCAGTGAATAATTGCAAAAATATCTCTTTTTGGGAGTACGACGGAAGGATTTGCCCCAAGAACTGCAACCAAGCGACATTTTCCTGCACAGCTTTACGAAAGTCTTCCATTGATATTCTATTATCACGATCCTTGTCCACCTCGGTCATGACGAAATCGACGAAAATCTTATCGTACTCAGGCGGTGGTAAGTGTAAGTCTATAGCGCATAATTGGCCAATGGTAGTTCTCCCATCCGACACCGAGCGCTAGTGGTCGTCGTCGCGACGGTGGCTGGCTGGCATGGCATAGAAAAGAATAACTAACTGGCATGCTTCAAAGTTCAAAGTTCAAACTAGTTATTCTTTTCTATGCTTCAAACTTAGCTACTACAAGATGTCGTCAAAACATGCCTACAAGTGTTGTATTCGAAATTGTCCTGGCAATGGTAAGTATAAGCTTCTAGTTTCAAATTATATAAACTTTAAAAATGCTTTCCTGAACAATTAAAATATTTGATAAACAGCCCTCTTTTACTGACAGTGAGATATTATAGGTCAATGTAAATGAATAATAAAAGTGTAATTCCATTTTATAGGCATGCAATCTCATAGATTTCCAAACCCACGTTATTTTTTGGCAAACTTTGACAAATGGGTAGAAATTATAGGTGACGATTTGCGTACCATAGACCCAAATGAGGTTTATTTCAAAAAACGAGTGTGTTCGGTCCACTTCACCGAAAATGATAGAAGTCCTGGTACAAACCGTTTAAAGTGCAATGTTGTACCATCTTTAAATTTGCCAGTTTCATCATCCTATCCATATGCAAAATTGCCAGATATTCCTAAGTCAACAGCAGTTTCAATACGTTCTATTGATTTAGATGTATCTGGCGTTCAGGAGTTGGATGGTGATTTAATCAATTTAATAGGTATGTTGATACATGTTTTTAAATTAATAAATGGCTTTTATATTATTCTATGCTTTTTTTTGCTATTGACATAGGCGATGCCAAAAATAATTGCTTGAATGAAATGAACATAACTGATAATTATGGAAATAGTATGCCTAATAATAATGTGCTTGAAGTAAGCTTAAATGCTTCTAAAAATTTAAATAAATCAGTATCAGCTTTAAAAAATCGTCATATGCGTTCTGGTAATTTTTGAATAGATTTTATATTACTTTATTGGAGGCATGTTTTTTGCTATATTGCTTTATTTGCAGTCCTAATAAAAATTTAATAATAAAGTATAGAAATTGTATATGGGTACTTAAATAATATTTATTTTTAGTATTAATGTTAATGTTTTATAGGCTTCTTAAAAGATATTAATGTTCGTCGAGTGGTTGATCTAACGCCAAAATGTCGTCATTTTTACAAAAATGCTGTATATTTTCAAAGAAAAATGACAAATGCAAATGTGAAAAAAAAAATATTTAACCCTTGTATGGTAACGATAATTTACATGTTACTATAGGTAATGATACGTAAAATTTACGCATATTTGTTTTCAGTTATATAATTATCATATTTTTAAAATTAAACACTTGTTAAATCTTGTACATACTTTTTTTATTCAATCAACATTAAATCAACAAATATAATCATATTTTTCAAACAAAATAAAACAAATAAAATAAAATTCAAAACTTTGTTTTGTACTTATTTGTACAACTTGTAACATAATAGTACATATATAAAATTCATAATGACTAAATAAAAAAAATAAAAACTTCCTGTTAACGTAACTAACTATAAAAAAATTTATTTATTAACATTCCAGACATTTTTTTTTTTTGATGCTCTCCACAAATTGGTCTCTGGCATTCAATGCAGTATGTGGTTGTGAGTCTTCTTTTTTTATAAGAACAATAATCGCAATACTTTCGAGGACCATGTTGGGGTTTGTCGTTGATTGGTACTTGCTTTTCTTCTAACGCGTCTTGGATGTTAGTTCTAAGTTCTCTGCTAATTTTTGGAAGACTCAATCTATGTCGTTGCCATTCGTTAGTTAGTTCTTTGTGTAAAGATAACATAAATTGTAATCTAGACATTGGTTTTTCATCGTTTTTATTTTTATTGTAAAAGTTATGAGTGTAAATAACATACGCATTAACATTAGCTATATTTAACATATTATAAAAAAAACATAAAGGCCAACGTTTGGTTATGCGACTGCAGTTCATATTGTTAGTCATCTGGTCAAATGAATCCACCCCACCTTTGGTAGAATTATAGTTCAATACTATCTCGGGTTTTTTTGTAGTTGGATCAATCGATGAATCGTGATGTGCCGATGAAATCAATGTCACAAGTTTACTTTGATTTGGTTTGTAAGAAACAACCGTAATATCTTCATGAAATAGAAAAAACGATGTATCGGAAGTTCTATTTTGAAATTTAATATCAGTGAACTGAGTTGGAAGTTCTCTTTTGTTTTTTTTAATTGTTCCTATAACCGTTAGCTTATCGTCATGTAAAAGTGATAGAATAAGTGGTACATTGCAAAACCAATTGTCCATTGTAAGGTTACGATTAGAACCTTTAATAGATTTAATTACATTTTTAACATAGAAATCAGCTGCAACTTGTCCGTTTGGTACAGTTCCTTTACCCAAGTACGGAATCGAATCAACGACATACTTAGTTGAATTGTCACACATCATAACAATTTTAATTCCGTATCTTGTAGGTTTTGAAGGGATATACATTCTGAAAGGACATCGTCCTCTAAAGCCGACCAACTGTTCATCAATTGTGACATAACTACTAGGCTTGTAATTATTTTTACAGTTGATCATTAAAATATCCCATACAACTGAAATCGGTGCTAATTTTGTCTCATTTTTACGTTGCAAACGAGTTGTTCGATCATCGAATCTAAGGCAATTAATTAGAAAACAAAATCTTTTCTCCGACATGGTTGCACGATATCTATTGCCACAAAACGAACTGTCAAAAAGTAAATTCGTAGTCAAATGATTATTTTTTAATGCTGCAGCTAAAATCAAAATACCAAACAGAGCATTAAGTTCAAACAATGTTAAATCACTTAGATTTGCACTAGTTTTATTTTTATAGTTTTCCCTTTGGCGTTGTATTTCTTGGTTAGTATAAAGAAGTACTAAATTAACTAACTCGTCTGTGAAAAAAAGTTTGAAACACTCTTTAGGAGTATTTGCAGATTTTGCTAAATATGAAGGCCCAGGTCGGATATGAACAATATTTTTTTGTGGAACTTTTCCGCTAAAATGATTGCACTCAGTTTTCCACACAAATCCGTTTTTACCCACAATTTCCGAGGTATTTGAAATGGTTATTATATGTTTATTTTGATCAGTTTCTCTATCATTTTCTCCATTATTACTATCTGTTTTAGATGTAGAGTTAATTTTTCTCTTCCTAGATTTTAATGAAGGTATTGGACGGGTTTCTATCTCTCTAATTACTTGACTAATCTCTTCTTCGGTTTGAAAATTATGTGTATTAGGAACATAGTCCGGATCCTCATCACTATCATCTACAATATCTTCAACTTCCGTACCACTTTCTTCACCACTCTCATCTTCAGATAGTTCTCTCAAAATACGAAGAATCGTTGAACTATCAGCCATTGTAATACTAAAATATTGTATACTAGTTATTAAATTTAAAACAATACTGTATTAGTAACTATGCGTAAAATACACGTATACTCTTTAGTGCATATAGGTAAACATGCGTATATTTTACGTAGTATTATTTACATGTATTACTAACGATGCGTAAAACTTACCTACTGGTTTTTCGTAGAAATTATCATTCACAGTTGTGGAGGTACAAAATAACAATACAACTATCAACAAATATGCACAACTAACTGATAAAAGCATATCTAGATTCACGAAACGATATAATCAGAGTACACAGTGTTACCACATTATGAATATGACGTATGCGTAAAATTTACGTATATTACCATTCTAGGGTTAAAGATAGTCTTACTGCAGCAACAAGATTTTCTTCCATGTTCGACGATAAAATCAGTAGTAAGATGACAGTTGCAGGAGCATTATTTACACGTCTTCAATGACGTGAAACTAAAAAAGAAAATCATGGTAGAAGATTTACTCGGAATGAAAAAGTGTTAAGTCTTTCTTTATACAAACGTAGCCCACAGTGCTATCGCTTGCTATCAAAGCTTTTCACTTTACCGAGTCGTAAAACCCTTTCTAACTTATTATCCAATGTACCCATAAACACTGGCATCAATCCTATTCTAATGAAAGTTCTTAAAAGTAATGTTGAAAAATTACCACGTTCTCAAAAATATTGTTCTTTGTTGTTTGATGAAATGAGTATCAGTGCTGAATTACATTACAATGAACATTTAGATGGAATTGAAGGGTTCGAAGATTATGGGTATGAAAGAACTCAAAAATTTGCCGATCACGCATTGGTGTTCATGGTTCGTGGTATTACTAAAAAATACAAACAACCAATCGCCTATTTCTTTTGCCAAGGATCAACATACAGTCATAGACTTATCAAAATCATCAAAGATGTCCCTGAAGTGTATTCCACTGGTCTTCATGTAGTCGCCACTATAAGTGACCAAGGTGCGACAAATGAAGCTGCTATCAAAAATTTACACTCTGAAACTAAAGCGCATTACCTAAGACAGAATCAGGAGTATAGAGATGACATGTACGAAATTCAAAATAACAATAAACGCTTCCAAATTATTCATTTATTTGATGCACCACATTTACTGAAGGGTAATAATATAATGTACATAATGTCATTACTCATATTTATATATTTATATATAATAGTTTTAATATGTTCATAGGCATTCGAAATAATTTGTTAACAAAAAATTTGATTTTCACTGTTGGCAACATAACATATGAAGCTAAATGGCAACATATAATAGATTTGTATCAGAAAGATAGTGAAATGGAGAATTTGAAGATGTTACCTAGGTTAACTGTTAACCATGTAATACCACAAAAAATTTCTTAAATGAAGGTCAAGTGTGCAGCCCAAGTTTTAAGTCAGCGAGTATCTTCACTTATGGCCTTCTTAGTTTGTAAGTATTATAATAATTATAATATTATCTATAGACATACATATCTTATACAAAGTAATTTATACTAACACATACAAATTGCCTCCTTGTATTTTAGCTCAAAAAAATAATTGATGTCGATGCTAGAGGTACCGCAAACCTCTGTTTATTTTTTGACCAGTTATTTGATTCTGTAAATGGTTCTTATAACAAAATAATTGATGGAAAAAAATATAGAACAGCAATTACAATGAAATCTAGTCATTTTGATCTGTGGGAAAAATCATTACCAGTATTACACTCTATGTCATTTATTGATTCAAAATCACAAAAATGTCAAAGACTGCCCACTGTGAAAAATTGGGAAAAAACAATAAGAGCTGGCTAGTTGTTCATATTTATTTTGTATATATTATTATTATTTGATATATTTTTCAATTTAATTCTAATTTTCCCATCAATAAATTGAAGTTTATTTTGTTTACAGGTTTAAAAGCAATATTTACATTTCTGCATAGTAAGGGCATTAAGTCTATATTACCACGGAACCTAAATCAAGATACACTTGAAAATTTCTTTGGTTCTTCACGCATTATGGGATGTAGAAACAACAACCCTTCGTGCACTTCATTTTCGGCATCGTACAAGACACTAATTCTAAATAATTTAATGTCCACACATTCACCTGGCAGTAATTGCGAAGACGACCTAGCAACATCTTGCTTGACTTCCTATCAACATTTATTCGACAATACAACTTTAGAACAAGGCAAAGGGAACGATAGTAATTCAGAAGTTGCCAAAAGTGTTGTTAGTGCAGAGACCACTACAGACAGCTTGATAGGACAACCAGAAGATGTTCAAAATTTAACTGTACAAACACATACTTACATCTCAGGTTACATAATTAAAAAACTAAATAAAATATTTTTCAAAAACTGCAACTGCTTGAAACAATTATGTACAACTCAATCCTCTAGTTTTCATGATATTATATCTAACCGTGAGTATTCTAAAAACATAAATTCTTTGAAATATCCAAATGGATCCTTCTGTTCCCTTGTAAAAAACATAATTGAAATAGTATCTAAACAATTACCAATCTTATGCCACACTTCAAACTTAAAATCAAATATTTTTTCAATAGTATCTCAACAAATAAATTTAAATATATTATCATGTCCTATTCATGAAGAATTGTTTGGTAAAACTTTTTTGAATTTCATTATTAAATTCTTAATACATAACTGGTGCAACAATGTTAATAAAATTCTAAATGGTAAACTATCAATTAATGTAAATGAAAAATATCCAATTAAAATTAATGCATATAATCGTTATGTTAAATTTTGTAAATATAAACACTTAAAAAACAGAAAATTTTAATTTTAGAAACCTTATGTTCCCTTGTAAAAAACATAATTGAAATAGTATCTAAACAATTACCAATCTTATGCCACAATTCAAACTTAAAATCAAATATTTTTTCAATAGTACCTCAACAAATAAATTTAAATATATTATCATGTCCTATTCATGAAGAATTGTTTGGTAAAACTTTTTTGAATTTCATTATTAAATTCTTAATACATAACTGGTGTAACAATGTTAATAAAATTCTAATTGGTAAAATATCAATTAATTTAAATATTTATTTAAATATTTGTAATTTGAATAATTAATTGTAAAATTGTAAATAATTTAGAAATACTTGTTCCTCTATGATGTGATGATTTATTTTGTATAACTAATGGACTGACTTTTTTATTGATTTGTATTGTAAATAATTTAGAAATATTTTTTTGTTATTATTATTATTACTATAATTATTATATTATTATTATTATTATTATTATTAATAATATACTATTTTATTATAATAAATTATTATTATTATTATTATTATTCACCTAAAATGTGTTGATTATTTATTTTGAAGTGAATAAAGTGTGTTTACTTATATTTGAAAAAAATACCAATTTCTTCGATATTTAAAAAGATTAAGTAGAATATAGATATGATAACTGATAAGAATATATTAAGGAAATAATAATTGATAAGGGCGTATATTCGAAATTAATTCTTCCATCCGACACCGAAGCGCTGCAGTCACTGTCTCGGAAATGTATCATTGAGTTGCCTTTCTATTAGTTATTCTTTTCTATGATCGTACTCCTCCGTATTGCCTAATTTACACATTTTCATGCTGTTTCTTCTGGACATCAGTAACACGTCCTCTTTCTTAATGTATTTCGGTGATCTCACCATCTCCGTGTAGACTTCGAAGCAAAAGTTAATCAAGTCGGATAGGGTTCCTTTTAACAACATCGACAATACCTTGACAAACTCGGGCCCAGTCAAGTGTTTCTTGTTCGTTTCGGCAAAAAGTAGATATATTTTATCTACGGCTTCTACGTTTCTCACTCCTAAAAAAATGCCCATGAACATTATGAAATTGAACTTATCCATAGGTTTCGTGTTGTTTTTGTTAGCATGTAATGCATTTGTAGCAATCGGAGCACTTATATTTTATTGAAATATGTTGTACGCGAAAGCTCCGTTCCGATGCCCGAAAATCTATGTTGTATGTCCACAGTAGCTGTAAACGTTTATGCATCGGACTATACGGCATTTGATTTTTTTTGGAATCGTGTGATAATTTTAATAATCTCTCAGTAAATAAAAAGTATTTAAAAATTTAAATATGAACAAATTAATTATTTTGATTGTATTGACAACCAGTAAAACACACGCTTTTATAGGTATTAATATTTATTTCCATGGAACTAACGACAGGAAATGTAACTGCATTGTGGCCAGTGGACTCAGTAGTCAGTGTTGTATTTTATCTAGATAAATTATCTAGATAGGTATAACCATTTTATGGTTCTAGGTCACTTTGTACGGTCGAGCATTAAAAGTGCGAAACGCGGACACTTTGTACGGTCGGGTAAAAAGGTACATTGCAGAACGCGGACACTTTGTACCAGTGGCGGCTCGTCAGGGGAGGCAAGTGAGGCTGAGCCTCACCTAGCTATTGTACAGAAAAAGGAGGTATATATACTATATTTATAGTTATTTCCAATCGACTTTAAGAATATTATATTCAATAATATAATGTACATTTTAAAATACAAAATAAATTCATTTTGTCGTATAGAATATAATTATCATAGTACACAATGAGTACATACTTTGTCTCTGTTAACAAAAATCATGACGAAGACGTTCGTTGAACAATATAACGATCTCGATGACAGCCGAAGAGTGCCGAGAGGCCAGTAATATTTAGCCTCAGACGAGATGGGACGGCCGTAAAATGATAAAATATATAATGGTAGAGGGGGAAATCGGAATTTTATTATGAAATGAGGCTGAACGATTCGGGCCTCAGAGTTTGTTAACATTATCCATTAGTCTTTTGTCGAAGCGACGTAACTTCCACTAATTGAAATAGGAACTGGGAGGTTGTCTTAATGGATATAATGTCGTGTAGTGTAAGTGTATAGGTACCTACCCACAATACTTTTATCACAAACTAAAGATATTGGTTCATATAAAATATCAATCAAATAATAATTAACACAATTAATAATTATTATTCTATTTGAAATTTTATACTGCCTTGTAGTTTGTAGCGTTTGTACCTACTATAGTTTATTGTGTTATAACTAATTATGTTTCCGTTTAATGATTTAATTATGAATTTACTCGAAACACCATTTTCTCGACGTAGTGAAAGTAACAAATGTCAGATATTAGATGACGGTCGTCCTGTAGTTTCTTTACATAATTTAAATACAAAAAATTCTAATTCTAAGATGTGTTCTCGTTCTTTTAAGGAATCTTGGTATGATTCACACAAGTGGTTATGTGGTAGCTTTTATGAACAGCGGTTGTATTGTTGGCCTTGTGTTTTACTCGGTAAAGTAAAAAATGTTTGGTCTTCTGATGGTTATTTTGATTTGAAAAACTTGTCAAGAAGTGTAAAAAAACATGAAGCATCAAAAGACCATATAAATAACTTCATTGGGTTGGTCCGGTTGGAAAAAAATAAAGGAACAATTATTGATGCCTTAAATGAAGGTTCTCGTTTAAGCAAAATATTGTATAACGACAATGTTAGAAAAAACAGATTAGTGTTGTTACAAATAATTGAGGTTGTAATACTATTAGGTAAACAAGAGTTGGCTTTTAGAGGTCATGATGAGAGCACTTTATCTATTATCCAGGGAAACTTTCGTGAAATGTTTAATTTGCTCATTAAACAAAATGCTGAGTTATTATCTCATTATGAAAAAATTAGCAATGTTTTTACAGGCCAATCAAAAACAATTCAAAACGAAATTATACACTGTGTTTATGAATACATAATTGATGTCATAAAATCTGAAATTAATGATATTCATTTTTTTGCTGTTATATCAGACGATACAACTGATATTGTGGAAAAATCTCAATGTGCAATTACTTTGAGATATGTAAAAAAAACTGGTGAGTTAAAGGAGAGTTTTTTAGGTTTTCATGATGTGAGTAGTAGCAAAACTTCTGAATCTCTTTTTAATTTAATAACTAGTGTATTAGATCCATATAATTTTAGAACTAAGTTGATAGCACAGTGTTACGTCGGGGCCAGCGTTATGGCTGGCCATGTTAGTGGTCTTCAAAAAAGAATTAGAGATGAAGCACCAAATGCTCTATTTACTCATTGTTGTGCACATCGGTTAAATCTAGTTTTACAACAAGGAAGTTATTGTGTGCCAAAATCTCGAATATTTTTTGCAACCCTTATAGGAATATCTGTATTTTTTAAAAAGTCTCCAAAACGAACATTTGTTTTAGATACAATTATTGGCAAGCGTATACCTATAGCTAATGAGACTCGCTGGTTCACACGATCAAAAATTTTAAATTTTGTTGTTTCAAATTTAGATAAGTTATTAGACGTAATGGAATGTATTAGAGATAATCCAGAGTCAGGAATGGTCGAATGGAGTCTATAAATGGAGCTAAAGGTTTTATAAATAGCTTAAAAAAATTTGAATTTGTATTTTTCATGATGATATATAAAGACATTTTTAATATAACTGATACATTATTTTCAACTTTACAACTTAAATATTTAGATGTGGCCTATTGTGTTGAGCAAGTAAATTCAGCTATTAATAAAATAAAATCTTTAAGAAATGATGATCAGTCCATTTTTTTTTTTAATGAAGCAAAAAAATATAATTTTCTAAAAAGGTCAGAAAGGTTGTCTGAAGCTGAAACTCTAAATAAGTATAAAATGTTACAATTTGAAATATTGGATAATATTATATTATGTCAATTGACTGACCGTTTCCAAGATTTAAATAAACTAAAATTTTTATCTCTAGTTGATACTTCCAAATTTAAATCATACAAAACTGCTTTTCCTTATGAAGGATTTAATTGTTTAACTTTAATATATAAAGAGATATTTGATACAGATCAATTGAAAAATGAATTGTCAGTTATTTACTTTGATGAGCAATTCCATAACCAAAGTATTCAACAATGTGTGAAATTACTAAAAGTGTTTGAAGAATCTGGATTATTAAAAGAAGCATATAAACTGTTTTGTATTGTTTTGACTATACCATCCACCAGTGTATCTGTTGAAAGAAATTTTTCATGTTTAAAACGCATTAAAAGTTATCTAAGAAATTCTATGACAGAAGAAAGATTATCTTCCTTAGCTACAATCTCTATTGAGAAGGATCTAATAAACACTTTATCAAAAAATGATGAAAAATTCTATGAAAAAATAATTGACAAATTTGCATTACTCAAAGACAGAAGAATAGATTTAATTTACAAAACATAATATAAAAAAAAGATTTATTTTTATAATATTTTTGTTTTTGTTTTAATATATGAGATTTATGAAATAAGTATTTTATTTTTTTTTATGTATATGACATGAAATAAATATTATATAGTTTATATTATATGGTTTATTATCAATATATTTTTAAAGGTTAGAATTAATTAATATTAAAAGTGAACTTGAAACTCATTGTTATATTTTAACAGCATTTTTTCTCCCATACATTTTGAAAATATCTGCCTCACCCCTCAAACGGTTCACGAGCTGCCACTGCTTTGTACTATTATACCTATACATAAAGTATATATATAATAAATATAAGTTATATACCTAAGTAGTAATTATATATCTATATATATAAAAATGGAGACAAAAAATTCGAAATTGCATCAGTTGAGAACGGCTGGGCCGATTTTGCTCAAATTTTTTTTAAGATGTTCGTAATTGCCAGGAAAAGGTTTTTACGAAAGAAAATTTTTATAAAGTCAACCGAATAATTAGAAAAACTGCAAAAACTATTTATTGATGTCTGGGATTTGAACTCGATACCGTTGTCTTTATTTACTCTATGATAGACGTAGACATCTCTATGGCAATTAATACTGATGTATTATATTTTATTATTATTTATCAGCTCGATGTGCAATCAGTATAATCTATGGTTTCTATAGTTATTTTATAGTTTTGTGGTAACCATTTATATATTATTTTGAGATTTCCGATGGAATTTTAAAACATATTATTCATATAGAGTTGTCATTTCTAATGGGCAACGAATTATATATAAATGAATGTTTGTGTGTAGATTAGACCTCCGAGAAGAAGACTGGCTATAATTTAAAAATGTTTAAATTGGTTTTTTTTTTTCATCTGATATTAGTACGGTTAGGTTAGGTTAGGATTTTGTATTAATTGATTATATTATTTAATGATCCGCCATAGGTGGAAATTTCCCCGTGGAATACGACAAACTTGGTATAACTTTGATACTTTAGAGTTAAATCATACACTTACGTACAAAACGGGGTCCGCGATTTACATCAGGTAGACTGACTAACTGATAATATTTAAATTTTGAACACCATACAACACATATTAAATAACGAATCGAACAAAGTTTTAGTCATAATATATAGAGTTGGTACATTCAATGGGCAACAAAGTGCACGGGATCAGCTAGTAATATTATAAATTATAATGTAAATCATTAAAATATAAAAATTAAAAATAAAAAGTAAATTGTTTCATCGTAGGTAATAGTGTTGCCAGATTTGTAAAATTAACTATCGCCAAATCAAGATACAAAAAACGCCACAAAACGCCAAAAAAAAAAAAAAAAATATTATTACACCCAACTATAAAATATCAACTTCAACAACAATTTGTTCATTATTTATCATAAATATAAAATTATAACTGTGGTTGAAAATATGAATGAATAAATTTGTTCTTCTGTAGGTACCTAATCCGTCAGTTGGTAGTGTGCAGTAATTATATTAAATTTTATAAATAAGTAAACACAAAATACACAATATTACCTGGGTAAATCAAATATTAAATATTGTCATAATCTTTAAATGTTTAAATAACAATATTTAGTGCTTACTAAATGTATAAATAATATTATAACTTTTTGTATCTTTCCTCAGAATAAATAAACATAATATAGTAATAGTAAAAATAGTAGTAAAAGAGTAACATTTCATAATAAAGCAAATATAAATAAAAAACTCTCATAGAGGTAGAGCACTGTTTAATTGCATGGTACCTTAAAATGAACAACAACAGTCTTATTATTTACAAATGGTTTAGACTAGTTTAAAACAATATGAGTATCAATTTTTAAATATATAAATAACAATGTTTATCGTTTAATAAATGTATAAATAATATTATAACTTGTATCTTTCCTTAGAATACCTAATTAAACATAATATATAGTAGTCAAAATATTAATAAAAGAGTAACATTTCATAATACAACAAATATAAATAAAAAACTTTCATAGAGGTACAGTACTATTTGATTACATGATACCTTAAAATTAACAATAACAGTCTTATTGTTTACAAATGGTTTAGACTAGTTTAAAACAATATGAGTATCAATTTTTAAATATTTAAATAACAATGTTTATCATTTAATAAATGTATAAATAATATTATAACTTGTATCTTCCCTTAGAATACCTAATTAAACATAATATATAATAGTCAAAATATTAATAAAAGAGTAACATTTTAATCATAAAAATCAGGCAAACAAACTTCATTAAACAAATTAATTAAATCATCATCAAGTTCAGTATTATTATCATCATGACTATTGTTTGATTCAAGTTTAGGTTTAGGATACATAATGTCTGAGTTAAATCTTTTAAACATGCCATTTGTTGGAGTGAACATGGTACAACAATGTTTAGTAGAAATGAAATGACATCTTATTCTCAATAATGCCTCTAACATAGGTATAGAAATCCTATTACGGGATTTAGTTTTTATAGAGTTCATTATTGAGAAAGTTCTTTCAACTATGGCATTACTGGAAGGTAAAACAAGAATTTTTAGGACAAATTCAGACAATTGTCTGAAAATAAAAGTGCCCCCTGCATCTTGGTATGTATAAACTTCAGCCCAAAAATGATAGCTGTCAACAATTTTATCTTTAGCTAAATATGATGTCCAATTCACAGTTACTAATTTATCCCACTGAATAGATAACAACTCAAGTTCAGTAGGCTTAAGGAATATATTAATAAAAGGTAACTCAATGAAGCTTGGATGTAATTGATTTAGACATTGTAAAGGGGAAAATAATTGCAATTTTCTAAAATGATTCAGATTATCAGGTAGTCTTTTTTTAATTTCGTATAACAGTTGTTTTATAAACACAAATGCCCTACTCTGAATATTATTTTTATTTTCTTGTGATATAACTATGTTAGAGAGACCTTCATTGTATCCTATGCCAAAATCACAATGTTTGAAACTATTATAGGCTGCAGTGGCGTAAACTGGGTGGTGCAAATGCAGCACTTGCACCACCACATCTAAAATGTGGTGGTGCAAAGGTATGTTTTTGCACCACCAGAAAATCATTGAAATATATAATATATAAAGAGGTACAAAATAGTTATTTTAGTGCATGTATTAGACATTATCATTTAAATTATTACCCTATCTGGCCTATCTATATTCTAAAATATCGTACAACCCCCATAAATAGTTAGATTATTATCTATGGTAACCACTATCCACAGAATTTTGTATTTTATTATGGCAGTATCACAGAATCACGATTAAAGATATTATATCTTTAATCGTGCACAGAATAGACGTATAATTGTTCTGTGGTATAATATGGTAAAATTATATTGCTATCAACATTCTACCGCCAAAATAGTGTGTTATCACTGGATCAATGTTCATTCAATTCTCAAAAGTCAAATGTCAGATGATAGCTAGACGTCGTATTGAATCAAATTTTAAAATTCTCTTCAGGTTTCATAAGCGCCAGGAAAAACAACATAAAAATTAAGGAAAAACAGGAATTTTTACCCGAAATCGGTTTTCGACAAAATCGATTTTGGTTTTTGACCAAACAAATGAACATTTACATATATAATTGAAATATTCACTGGTTGGGTAAAAAAGCTTGGAAATTTAATAAAAGGCTCCAACTATATTGTTACAATGACATTAGAAAATTATTAAAAATCCTTAGTCACAGTTTTTTTTATAAGCATTTAAAGTTCAAATCTTGACAAAATACAGAAAAATCACGAAAATTAACAATATAATTTGAGTTGAAAAAATCATAAAAATGTTTCTTTTCAAATCTAAGATTTTAAAATGTAATACAAGATTATTCATAAGTTTGTATACGCCTTTATCAAAAAAAAAAAATGTCCACAAGTAAATCAAATTAAATTTTTATGAGCATTTGAAAATCATATTTTTACAAGATTGGATATTCACTAGATTTCTCATGTAGCGATTTTGTTAATTTGTTGTTATTCAAACAAATAACTGTAAATACATGAAAATTTATATATTTATATTTTAATTTTCTATACACCACAAAGTTTTGAAAATATTTTAACTCTCTTTGAGCTGTTTCCGGACATTGTCATTTTTTAATTTTTTTAGTTTTTTTTCTATAAATATCAATAAAATTTTATTTGTTGGGTAAAAAGCGTGAAAATTTAATGGAAGGCTCCTGATATATTGTTACAGTAGCGTTGAAAAATATTAAAAATACATAGCCACAATTTTTTTTATAAGCATTTGAAGTTCAAATGTTGACAAAATGTATGGATAAATATATAGTTTTTTTTTGTTAGGAAGGATTTTACTTAGAAAGTTGGATTATTTTTGTGTTGGAAATTATAGGTTAAGAATATGCCTCTGCACCACCAGAAATTGGACCCAATTTACGCCACTGATAGGCTGAATCATTATCTATATTTTCAATAACACTATCATAGCCAAGCGTCACAATGGAATCGTTCATTATTTTTTTAGCTAAAAAAATGAACAAACTTGTAATATCATCATATGATTTACCAATATCTACAAAATTTTTTTGAAAAGTTAAGTTTAAGTGGTTGAATTCGTTTAGTATAGGTCTAATAATTAATAAAAAAAGATAATTGATATTGTCTTGTAACATTTCATTTATAACTCTTGCCGTATAACATTTTTCTTTATTAATGACCGTGGAGAAATGAGTTTTTAGTTCAAGCCAATTCTCTAGTATAGAATTAACCACATATGCACGTGCCAGCCATCTAGTACCGGATAACTGTTTAAACTGGTGTAACTTTTTATTGGATGAATTTAAGAGATCAAACGTGGCTTTATACTCAAATCGTCTATGTGGGCTTATATGAAACCAGTTGTATATTTCTCTACAAAGAAAATCTATATTACTAGGGAATTGTTCAGTGGCCTTTGACAATGCATTATTGAGGGAATGGCAGATGCATCTAACAATTTGTAGGTTAGGACTTTTTTGTTTTAGCAGTGTAAAGAGGGAGTGATGTTTTCCACATAAATTATTTGCTCCATCTGTACCAATACCTACTAAGTTACTTATATCTAGACCAATATCTTTAAGATAATTACAGACATGATTATTGAGAGCTTCAGCTGTACATTTATCTACTTCGATTATACTCAAAAATTCAATTTTTACACATAAGTTTTTTGTACTGAAATATTTCACACATAAGCATAAATACTTAATTACAGAAACATCGGTTGATTCATCAACAATTAAAGAAAATGGAGTTGTACCTATATCCAGAATGAGTTCTTCTAGTAATGATGGTGATATCACATTTTTAATTATTGTTGAGCATTTAGTTCGATGTAACTTTAAATTGCTTAAAAGTGAATTATTTTTTTTCCCAATAACCTTTAGTATTTCTCCAAGATGATCTATACTTTTGATAGAAGTATGAGTTGCAACATACAGGGACAACTTTAAGTCTAACTCTTTTTGTTCATTGGTAATTATAATTGTATTACTTAAGACGGTTTGATTGTTCTGTTGAGGATTAAGTTTTTTCATTTTTTCACAGTGCATTTTTGTTTTCGCGTGTCTTTGTAAATCCGTCAAATGGGCTCTAAGGAATGACCGACAAATCTTACAAAATGCTTCACCAATTTTATTTGCATCTGCATCAGCTTCTCTTAACCATCCTAAAGTATTATACATTAATATTTAGTTATACAGACATAGGTACCAGTACATTAAAATTCAAAATTACAATTAAACAAATTTATTACCTTTAGCCCAGTTCTCTGATTCCCAACATTGCCGATATTTCCTAAGTTTCTCTGTCTTGCCCATGATTTGACTTTATAAATTGCAGCAGCCAGTAATTTGGGTTTTGGGTAAGTGTACTAAGTGATTGCAATGCCGCAATGGTCGGAGTAACAACTAACAGGACCCAGAATATGTAGTACAGTATGTACAGTGTATGTACAGTTGTAGTGAATTGCGTATATTCAAATAAAGTTAATAGTAAAAACTGAATAGGTTATAACTAATAATCGATGTTCCAATGTCTTATGTCACCACTACAGTATCGCGATTCGCGAATATGTATAAATGTATTGCGTATTATCTTTCATCTATGATTGCGACTGCCGAGTGCCGACTGGCGACCATAGACAAGAATACTAAGACTACACTAGTGTCTAGTGGGGGGTGTGCCGACTGCCGAGTGCCCGTGTTTGTGTGTGGGAATGGGGGAGCAAAGTACAAAGTACACGAACCCGGACATTTCGCCGCGACCGATTCGCCGCGACGCCCAGGGCGCAGACCATTTTGCCGTAGACCGTTTCGCCGCAGACCTACTCGTTACTCGCTAGTCGCTACAAGCCCGCAAAATTATAGATAATAATTTTTCTATTATCAATTCTATGATAAAAACAGTAAAATAATAAATAATTTTGAAATAAATAAATTTGTGAATACAATTTGGACAGGGGAAAAAATCGCCATTAAATCGCCACTTCAAATTGAAAATCGCCAACTTTTCCGCCACCCGCCACAAGTCAAAAATCTCCGCCAAACCATTATTGAAAATCGCCACTTTGGCGATAAATCGCCACGTCTGGCAACACTGGCGCCGCCGCCCACTAGGTATATTAATAATGATCAAAATAATCAAACAATCAATAATATTATTATAAATCTTAATTGTATTATAATTGTGGCGCGCGTAGGTTTTAAAGGGTGTTACAACTTACGCGGCCAACATACGCAAGGTACGAAATAAATGTGCTCTGAGACGGCTTGAAGTTGACAAATATTTATTGTAATTAGACGGACGTAAATATTACAAGGTAAGGTGAGGCAATGCCGGTCACTAACAGCGGGGACGGTGTCGAGTCGCGATGTTCTGTTCCGACGCACGGGTCGGGTTCTTTACACGATGAGAGTGTGTACTCGAGGGAGACCTGTGGTCGTGTTGCTGAGTACTTTTGCGAGTGGCAAAAAGATGGCGGCTGTGTTCGAGACGGTGTCGTGTACGTCGGTTAACGGTTGCCGAGCGAGAGACCGTTGGAGGCCTCCCGATACTTCGCGGTCGCGAACGACGAGGAGGGCCGAGCGGTGTTGCCAACGCAGGGAGCGCGACCGACATGGGGAGGGAGTATGTGGTGAAAGCACTGGTTCGCCACATAATATTAGATATCAGTTTTAAAGCAAATTAAAAATGTGTACAATATAAATATGTCATAATGACAAATAAAATATAATAATGAAAAAAAATCATTAAAAACTACATGCATAGTACCTATAATATGGAAATATCTCAAAATGACAAGTAAAGTATAATATTGACAAACATTTTAAAAAACTACATAATATTGTATAGTATAATAATATGAAAATATGTCAAAATGGTATCAAGCTTAGATAAAAAGTGCACATACATAATTATTTAATATTAAGGTGATGCGGACTTAGGTGGTGCCGCGTGGACGGTGGTGTGGTGGTGACCAAAAGTCAGGTCGGAACAAATAAACGAATTAACACAAAGTATTAATGAAAGACAACGAACGGCGCACTGGAGTGGCTTTCGACTTTATTGTAAAAACAAAATAACGAACATTCAATACGGTATTGAGACTGCGATGGTTTCGATTCTACGGGGATGTGTGTGGAGGTCCGTGCGGATCGGTGTCGAGATGACGAGAGAGCGCCTCTTGGCAATCCGGTTGGCGTGTCGCGCGCCGGCGTGGTCCGTCGTCGATTGGCGGTTTGATTGAGAAGCTACGGCTTAAAGGCTGTTTGAATTCAAACAGATTTTGCGCGGGACCGCGTCAAAGGGTTTAATAAATCAATTTTAGAATAATTCGTCAAAATGAACGATCTATAAAATATAAAATTTCCATTCTTTAATGAAACTACATGTATAATATATGGAATTAAAAAATTCCATATTTGTTATTTCCTTTTTTTGATGTTTGTTACATAAATTTAATAATGACAAATATAAACTTTTAAAAAAAGTTGTTCTGTAGTATTTAAAAAAAAAAAATTCAAAAAATGTTAAATTTAACACATTTCTTATATATTTGTAGAAAAATAACAAATTCCAAACAAACTTAAACTTTTAACTTTTACTAATAAACCATTCTTTCCTTAAGGATAAAATATATATACATTAATATATATATTATATATACATATATATTACAACTAATTATAAAAAAAATAGGTAATAAAAATATAACAAAATGTTAGAATAGGTATACATAATAACAGTTAAACAAATTACTAGGAAATCTATCTTGATCTTCAGACTCAAAAATTAAACATCAGTCTTTCAATGTATTTATATAATATAACAATACCTTTGTAGGCAATACCTTTGCCTACCAAACAATTAAATAATTAATAAAAAAAATATAACAATATTACATATTGAAAAAAAATTTGCCACGATACTCAGATTCAACTTTAAGAGCTCTGATGATGTTTTCTTTTTTTACCTCTTTACACTAGGAAATATAAATGTTTCTGTTTGACCTTTATAATTTCTCATAAATTTACATTCATAAATACTGTCAGATGATTTTTCTTTAATGAGACAAGGAAAAAACTTGAAATGTTCTTTTTTAGTTCCAGCATTATACAAATATTTAACTAAAATGAAATCACCAATATTAAAATGTTCAGGTTCATTAAGTAAGTTATTTTCTACATCATGGGATATGTTATTCTGATTTGATCTACTAGTTTTAGGAATAGGTTCAATTAAGTTTTCATTGACAGAAATTTCATCTTGGTCTGAAAGAACAACATTAATGACAGGATCATCTTCATCATCACTATTGGTATTTGGGTGAGCTATACTTTGTCCTGGATGAACTGTAAGGCGTCGTTTTTTTGTCTTTACAGTTGTTTCTTTCCTCCTTTGCTGTTCGAGGAAACCTTCAATTGTTCTTAACCAACTATCAGACATTGCATTAGAATTTGAGTTAGGTATATGATTTAACACTTTTTGTGGATTTAATGGCACAATACCACAGGATTCAAAACCAGCTATTAAATTTTTTGATGATTGATTTCCAAGCTCTTTCATAGTTAAGCCAACAAGTCGAGGAAATTGAGTTTTTGGAACATTACCTTTGTTTTTTTCTTTCCAACTATTAAGGACTTGTCGCCATTTGATTTTTAATGGTCTGAAGTAAGCAACATCTAACGGTTGGGTAAGATGTTTGCTGTTAGGAGGTAGCAAGACAAAACTTATGTTATTATCTTGACAACATTGTATAACTTTTTGTGAAATATGGCTGGAAAGATTGTCACCTATCATCACTTTTTTTTGATCACCTAATTTTTTGAAGTAAGGGAGAACAATAGAAAAAAACCAATCTTCAAAAATAGTTGTGTCAAACCATCCACTGTGTGACCTGTTAAACCTAGTTCCTTTGGGCGCATTTGTAGTCCAAGCATTATATAAGTGGTCGGCTTTATATACTATATAAATTGGTAATAAAATGCCTGAAGCTGTTCCTGAGAACATTAAAGATGTACTGCTTTTGGATGCATCGATTATTCTTTCATCATGTTTGGCTCCACGGCGAACAATGACTTTGACTTTTCCTGGATCGTCGGTAAAATTTGTCTCATCATAATTCAATATTGCCTCCGGTTTGACATCTTTCAAAGTGACCTTCAGTTCATCAAAGTAATTACTAATTATATCACTATCAACACCAGAACGACATCGCTTTATATTTTCACTTAATCTTACTTTGAGGTTATCTCTGTGTCTGTTTAGAAAAGATCTAGCCCACACAACACCTGGTAAATTATTTTTAAAAACCTCCACCCTTAAACCATTAGAGTCCAAAAAAGATTTAACCATCAGTCGTATGTCCAGTGCAGTCAAAGGAAAGCCACTTACTTGCTGCTATAAGTCCATTAACTAGAGCTTCTTCGTCGACTTTTGTCAAAACAGAAGGATGGCCGACGTTTTTCATATTTTTCTTATTATGTTTTCTGCTTAAAGTTGATTTTGAAATGTTGTACATAGCACTAATATCTCTGAGACTCATTTCACCACTAGAAACCAATCTTAAAGCTGATTCTAGATTTTCATCTGTGTATGTTTTATATCGCCTAGCACCAAACTTTCTTCTCACTGACATTTCTAAAAAAAAAAAATTATATGTACCCATGTCCCAAGTTGTATAACATGTATAAATCATAAGCTACAAGGCTTAATATTTAATCAAATCGAATTTCGTTTTTTTAACTTAAAACTATACACATTTATCTATGAAAAATAAAGAATAAAAATTTGTGATATAAAGCATAGTTAATGACTTACCGATAAAGTTTGTAAGGACTATTAACTATTTACAAATAGTGGAAAACGTGGTAACGGTTCTCCGTCGTTATGTTTTGTGTTTTGGGCTGTATTATCACATCGAGTTCATAGATAATCTTGTGTAGATGATTATAAAAAAAAAAAGTAGGATATCTCAAATACAGTGCAGCCACGGCGAATAAAGCAAAAATAAATTTTCCTGTCCCAAGTTGAACGGATGTCCCAAGTTGTAGCATTTGACGGTAGTTTATTATTGCCAGCAGTATAGGATTGTTGTCTCTTATGAAGTCTATTGCCACATTCATCCAATTGTATTGCTCGCAAAACCGTCCAAAAACTTGGATTTGTTGTTCCCACTAATTTATTGAACGAACTATTCCACCCTTCACTAAAATTATTAGTTCGATGAGAATTAGACATAGTTTGACGCCTTACATTCCAAATAGAAGGAGGGTACCGTGCGTTATTGTTATTACCACTAATATAAGTTCTATTAAAGTATGAAATAAGAGGTAGTAATTCTTGAGAAAATGTTGTATACATATGACTAATTTCGACCAAAATGTCGTCAATAGGTAAAAACGCCAATGAAGTCATCACTCTACATTCTTTGGAAATCCGTTTATTTTCTTTATACAATTTTGCTAATCAAAGTTGCTGAATTTGTCGCCATACAGACTGGCATAAATGAAAAAAGCAACCTTGAATCTGGACGTCATTAAAAACTCGATTTATTACGTTTATTACACCTAACTCAAAATCTATAATAATTCGCTCAGGCTTAAGGGGAGTTTCGTTTCGTACAGATGCTATAATGAGATTTAATAACATTTCATGATACGTATTTTCTAATTTATCTGGAAGAAAAGCATAAACACACGCCCTAACATTTCCTTCAAATTTATAATGTATAATTGAGCAAATATACTGGAACATTTAAATGTGCCATCCATAAACCACATATTTGATGAAGATAAAAAAGAAAGACCCCCATTTGTAGCGAAAATTAAAATTCTATGCTCATTTCCATTGTCATAAATTAAAAAATCAGTTGACTCGCCGCCCATTGTAGTTTTCCACTTATTTGGTAGTGAAAAATTTAGATTTTTAGGCTCATCAGGAATATTTTTACGTCGTGCACGTCTTATATAGTCGCGGCAACGAAAAATGAGCGTTGGTACCGCGACCCGTTGCTTTTACCCACTCTTACGGCCAATGATTCTCAACATAGTGCAGCTGTCGTGCTTTTCGTTTCAAAGATTGATAACCACTACTAATAAACTGCCGCTTGGCGCATGACGGTCAGTGCTCATTTTTCGTTGCCGCGACTATAGTGCGACGTAAAGCATCAGGATTTCCCAAATTTGAACAAACTTTACCTATAATGAAACATCGATGTAAAAAAATATTTTTACTATACCTAAAAATATAAAAACCTATAAAAAATGTATATTGTTTACTTACTACTACATCCATGTGCGATTGATAAAAGAATTTGATTTGTACTTTCTTTGTTGTTAATTGCGCATTGCTTCATCTCAGTTTTCGCGTTGTTAACGGCACAGAATGTTAGTTCTTAGTTCATCCAATGGTTTTGGGTCGTGTTGATGTGATACAAACTTAGTAAATACGGTATACTAAAAAAAAATATATATATATTTAAGTTAAATTCATATTATTTGACGTTCACAAATAATAATACAATCGTAATTTATATACAAATAGTACCTATAATATTTATAGTAAATATTTTTGTATAACAATAACTATAATATATCTACACAGTTAAGAAATAAAAATAAAATATTTATATATGAGGTACTTACTGGTTCTATAAGATTTGTAGACATTTTTCCTACACACGTGATAACTGAACATTTTCATCTTATATCGTTCAAATTTTTTCTTAATACCGTGTATTCAAAACGATCTTTAACAAGTTTTGGTCTTAATTTACTGGAACTTGTTGTTGCCATCGTGAAGATTTCGGTTGTGACAGTGTCTTAGTGAAATGCATTTCAACGATAAACGCAAATGATAAGTATTTATGCAATATTATGACTGTGGGGGACGAGGTGGCTGAGCGGTCTAACGCGTCGACTGCGGCGCTGGCAGCCTCGGGTTCGATTCTCGGCCACTGGGTGTCATTTTTCTCCGGGCAAGTCACGGTGTCCGGAAAACAAGTGCCGCCATCCCCCACTCCGGGGCATGGTAGAAACCTATAGGTGCCCCATTCGAAATTCTGCCAAAGTACACCCACGTGTAACACTCACCTTTAATAACCTACAGTACCAACCCCCCTCCCAATATCCTAAGTTGCGGGCGGGATAATTAATAATAAAAAAAAAAAAAAAATATTATGACTACGAGTCATTAGCAATGTTGCGGGATAGGGTAGTTTCAAATTGTTCGTTGGTCGGAGTTTGTCTATAATGCGTGAGTCTGAATTTTATAAAATAATTTTACAAAATACAGGTTATAATCACTTGACTGTAAACCATTCTAAAAACTTTGTCGACCCGCTAACAGCAGCCAACACCCAGACAATATAATGCGTTTGATCACATCTGAAAATGAAAATACTTCGAAAAATGCATGGCACTACATCGGAACTTTTACCTCGTCATCTGATTGATCCTGAAAATACTTTTTTAGCATTTTTAAATGATACTAAAAACGTTTACTGTAATTGAAATTATTATTATATTTAGCTAATTATTTTTTATTTTTATATTTGACGAATATTTGTATGATATGGCGTACTCGTAATAAAAAATATAATGTGTTTTTATACTATTAAAACGTAGATTACTTGTTCCGAATTCGCAGATCACCCCTCCGCGGTAGATCACCTGCTACACGAATGCCCAGTTTTGAATTATTTGGCCTATTTAAAAATGGAGGTAACAAGAATAAGTGATAAGCAGCAAAATATAGAGCAAATGTTGTTAGATATAAAATCATCATCAACAATCTCAGGAAGTGCACAAGATGCACTCATTAATAATAACGAAGTCGATTATTTCATATCAAGTTGGCCAATCTTAGATAACGAAGGACTTAATAATTTAGAAGACATAATACAAACTGACATGAATTTTAAAAAACAAGTTGTATGTGATCCCTCTGTACTTGACTAAACAATGTAATCTTTCATAAATATTCTTTATTTAATAGGTATGTCACATTTTTTCAAAAAAGGACCATCTCAACCATCTTCAAATGATCTTCACAGTAAAATATTTCCAAAAGATATCCATGGCCGATTTTTTCATGAACATTGGTATTGGAAGAATTCTCCTAGCGGAGAATTGTCTCGGAGAAAGTGGCTATCATACTCAAAAAAATTAGTCAACATTTTTTGTCATTATTGTGCTCTCTTTGGAAAAAATGAACAAATAAACTGGAGCCGTGAAGGGTTTTCTAATTGGAAAAATACATCTGCAAGAATTGTTATACATGAAACATCGGAAGCACATATGGCATCCCTCAAAGCAGTCTACAGGGAAGCAACTTTTCCATTGATACCATCTTTAACAGAAAAATTAGAAGATTATTATTCAAAACAAGGAAATTGTTTGTCATTTAATTGATATAACATTATTTCTTGGAAGACATTGCCTATCATTTCGAGGACACAAAGAAGGCTGGAGAGATGTAATACGTGGACATTTTAAAGATCTTGCAATTCTTTTGGCTAAATACTCGCCACCATTGGCAATGCATATTAATGAAATTCAAAACTATGGGAGAAAGACTCATAACTTTTTATCGTGGCAACGTCAAAACCAACTGATACAAGCCATTTCAACAAATATTAAAAATGTCATTCAGCAAGAGTTGTTAAATGCTCATTACTTTAGTATTTCATTAGACTCAACCTACGTTATATCAAAGAAAGAGCAGTTATCTATGGTTATCAGGTATATTAATAAGAAACTGGTATAGTATGTGAACGTCTTATTGTAGTACGCCAGGCAATCTCTACTACTGGAAAACACTTGTTTACAATGTTTGAGGAAATTTGTGGTGAATTAAATTTAAATTGGAAGGAATTTTTAGTTGGGCAATCGCTTGATGGGGTTGCATCAATGCGAGGCCAATATAATGGTCTTCAGCCGTTCATTAAAGAGCAAAATCCATGTGCTACTTATGTATGGTGTTGGGCTCATCGCTTCAATTTAGTGATTGTTGATGCAGTAAGTTGTTGTATTGAGGCACGTGATTTATTTGGCATGCAACATAGAAATGCTATACGACTTTATTGGAAGTAGCAAACACCGTGTTAATCTTTATTCTAGTTACCAAAAAAAAAGTTATCCAGGAAAACCGTTACGACAATTAAAGAGAGTTGAAACGACTCGTTGGTCATCACATGCATCTGCACTACAAACTACTTTTGATACGTTTGATGCTATAATTGATACTTTAAATAGTCTAGAAAGTGACGATGCCTCTCATCGTGTCTGCAGTGTAAAAGCTAATGGCTTGATGGAGTATTTATTATCAGAGCGTTTTGTTTTGACTGCAGGAATGTTGTTTCTAAAAATATTTGGTATGACCAGTCCACTTAGTAAATTCCTTCAAAAGAAAAATATTGATTATTAGCTGCGGTTAACTATGTACAAAATAAACTTACTAGAATTAAAAATCTTCGAAATAATATTAAATTTGGCAATTTGATTGATCAAAAAAATAAATTTATTCAATCTAAACAAAATGATTATTTTTTTACTCCTATTGTTTCAACGCGAATAAAACGCATAAAAAAAATGGTTGGTGAATCAGCATCAGATGAAAACATTACTGACCCTATTGATCATTTTAGAATAAAAACGTACATTGTACTTTTAGATATTTTGATAACACAAATAAGTGAACGTTTCAATGAAAATCTTTCACCTTTGTATAAAGACATATCACTTTTTCAAAGAAAACGCTTAAGAGAAGTTGAAAAACTTTCTTCTAGTTTGCCTGTGGATGCATTTAATGCATTTGGTAGTATTTATGGGAAGTTTTGTTCAGCTGACATTCTTAGAAAAGAATATCTACAGTTTTGTAGTGTATATTTTAGTTTTGAAAACCTAATAAAACTTCCCCAAAAACTTCATGAGAATGATATTTTACATTATGACACAGAAGAAGAAGAAGAAGAAATTGAAACAGCTGAAGATGACCAAAAACCATTAGTACCATTTATGCTGTGTGTCATTCTACAGGACTTAAAGATGTTATTCCAAATATTTATATTGCTTTAACAATAAAATTAACGCTTCCAGTTTCAAGTGCCAGTCCAGATAATTATTTTCAAAATTGAAATTAATTAAGAAAACCGATTAAGAAGTACTGTGAGTGAAGATAGATTAGAAGGACTAATGTTGATAACATGCGAGAGGGATATTCCAGTAAACACGGATGAAGTTATAAAAATATTTGCTTTATACTCTACAATTTTAAACAAACAATTATGATAAATAACTATTAAATTTATTTGTTTTTAGCATTACAGGCCATTAGGACCTTTGCTGTCAATACTTAATTCTTTCATCCTTCATCCTCATTCAATTCTTACATTCTTCTTCAAATAACTATTAAATAAATAATACAAATTAAATAACAACTATATATTTACTTATATATTATATTAATAAATGTATATTTTAATTTATCCTCACTATTTTATAAGAAATTAAAATTTAATTTAAATATAAAACAATACATCCCATTGTTTATTTCATTATTAAAGTAATTAGTAAACATGGCATTTCCATGTGTTATCTGTTATAATAACATATATTTGCTCCATTTGATATATAGTGTTATTGTCAATCCTTGTCAAATTAGTGGCACGGAGCAACGCAATATGTTTTTTTCCATTTTGGGCGAGTACAGAAGAAACGTATTTAGAAGGGGGTGACATGGTAGAAAATGTTTATGACCTTTTACGTTGTAAAAGAGTAAGTAGTGAGGCCAGAAGGGGGTCTCTGGGTGCAGGAGTGGGTGGTGGGTATTAATTTTTGTACTTTGCCCCACCTATAAAAATTGAGTGGTACCCATACCACTGGGTATGTGAACTAGCTAGAATTGGAGGAAAATCTTTAAAAAATATGATTTATAAGATAATGAAAAAAGTTTATGATGATAGATTATTAATGCAGTATACCTATTATGGTTTATGGAACAAAAACAAGTTTTCATTGTTGTCGATTAACAAATCAATATTTGGTAAGATTATAATTTATGTTATAAAATAAAAAATTAAACATTTTTTATTCTACTAATTGCTTAAATAATTAATATTTTCTAATTATTATAATGATATTTAAACCTAAAATAGGTAATGGTTCTTTTCATAAAATATGTTTCAAAAAAAAAAGTTTTAATTGTAACATAAATGCTATATAATCAAAATTAAAAAAAAATTAATATTTAGAACTTTTTTTTTTAATTTTTATACATCTGTTGCAAAATTTACTTTTGTTTTTCAAAAGAACAAACATTAATTCCCTGTTTTGAAGCAAAACTACCTAACATTTTTCCTAAATTCTGGACAGTGATACAGGAAATGTTCACCATGATTACAAATAGTATAATGTTTTGCCTTATTCAATTTTGGTTTCGACGAATGCGACGAAGCGCCTCTATACTCCGGCCCACGAGAGATCAGTACCGTCACGCGCATGCAGAATGACCGGCAGCGACGGTGCGGAGCCCAATTTTCCCCACTATGTGCCGGAATGCCGCAATCGTCACAATTGCCGAACGACACCGACAGTCGCCGAAACGCTGTGGTTGGTTGAGTGGGAGATGCGCGAAATCGGACGAGTTTTGGTCGAATAGCAGTACTGATCTCTCGTGGGCCGGAGTATAGTCTTATGAACAGCATTACTCGCGGCGGTAAATGCCAACTTTGGCGGGATAGATTTTTAAGATTTATTTGATCGAGTTTCAGTCTTGTCAACCCTCTGTATGTTCTCCAATATCTTCAAACGTTTTTGAACAAAAGTGATGACAGTAAAAATACTTAATTTTAGATTCTGAGTGGAACGATGAATGTATTGATTTTACAATGATGTGTGTTTTTTTTTTTTATTATTTTTTTTTTGCCTGTGTACACGATAAGTTGTCGAAATAATGGTTCGATTTTCAACTTCAGTGTCTTGTTCGATTGGAAAGTGAATATCGTTGGTGCATTGGGGAGGTCAACATTTCGAATTCCCAATAATTTTCAAAAGCGTAAAGAAAAACAAAAGAAAAATTAAGGAACAACGGGAATTTTTACGCAAAATCGATTTTTCACAAAATTGAATTTGGTTTTTGGTGTAACTTTAAAACAAATGACCTTAGACACATGCAATTTTCACTGATTGTTTATATTTGCATTTTCTATACACGATAACATTTTCAAAATATTTTGATTTATTTTGAACTGTTTAGGGACATTTTCATTTTCCATTTTTTTTTAGTTTTTTTTCTAAAAATATAAATAAAATTTTATTTGTTGGTTAATAAAGCTTGAAAATTTAATAGAAGGGTAATAGTATATCGTTTCAAAGACAGATGAAAAATTTTAAAAATCCTTGGTCACAATTTTTTTTATAAGCATTTAAAGTTCAAAAATTGACAAATTATGGAAAAATCACGAAAATTAGCAAATTATTTTGAGTTAAGAATTCGTAAAAATTTTTCTTTTTAAATCTAAGATTTTAAAATGTAATACAAGATTCTTTATAAGATTTTCTAAATTTATCAAAAAAAAAATGTCCATAAGAAAGTCAAATTAAATTTTTATGAGCGTTTGAAATTCAAATGTTTACAACATTGGATGTTCACTCGATTTCTCATGTAGCGATTTTCTTATTTTGTTGTTATTCAAAAACGAATAACTGTAGACACATGAAAACTTCACTGAATGTTTATATTAGCATTTCCTATAGACCATACAATTTTGAAAATATTTTGACTCTTTTTGTGCTGTTTACTGACATTTTCTGTTTTCAATTTTTATTAGTTTTTTTTTCTATAAATATCAATAAAGTTTTATCTATTGGGCCAAAAAATGTAAAAATTTAATACAAGGCTCCTAATATATTGTTACAATAGCAATTGAAAAATATTAAAAATATATAGGCACAATTTTTTTTTTATAGGGATTTAAAGGTCAAATTTTTGACAAAATTTATCAAAATCTAGAAATTTATTAATCATCGTAATTAATAAGTTATAAAATGTTCAGTTTTTATAGCTAAGGATTGAAAATTTAAAACAAGATTCCACGTAAGTAGTTAATTCTCTTACCGAAAAATCTAAAAAATATACAATCACAGTTTATTTTTATAGTCATTTTATGTTCAAATTTGGACGAAATTACATATTAAAAAACCTAGTTATTTTGTTGTGATTATATAATATTATTTGTGGGTACCTACTTGAAACTTCTAAAGTGTACTATTATATATCTATGATAGTATCAGGGTTTGTTATTGATGTTGATGTATAACGTGTTATAAGTACCTACCTAATGGATATTGTGATAATGTGATACCTATGATTAATTTGGAATTTATTATAGGTCAATTTTTTTTTTTAATACCATAGGTAGATATGTATATAATTTGTCTTAAACCTAGACTGACATAGTCTAGGCATAGTCATAGTCTAGTCATAGTCTTCGCTCAGAATCGTTTTTCTTATACAATGATATTATATCATTGAATTCAAATTTAATAGCATCCATTATACAGTGATCCACTTGTAACCTACTGTACAGCAGAGCGACATCCACTTACCCACCTTTTTTTAATTTATCTTAATCCTATTTTATAACATATATATATATATACTTTATTAATTATTTAAAAATATTTTGTGGTATTTAGATCTTAAAGTATAATGACAAAAAAAGGTTCATACAGAAAATGGGTAGTTGCAGCTAAAATGGTCAATGAACAAAAAATGTCTATTTACAAAGCAGCAAAAATCAGTGGAGTTCCATTGAGTTCACTTAAAGATTTTTTGATACGTGATAATTTTGAATTAGTTCCAAAAATGGGAAGACCATATGCACTTACATCAGACCTTGAAATACAAATATTAAACTATATCATAAAGATGCAAGAACTTGGATTTGGTTTGACTGTGTTACAGATAAGAAAAATAGCTCACAAAAGCCACTGCAGCTGGACGATTTGCCCTTTAAATAAAAATGCCATTTCTCCAGAAATTAGAGCTGGCGTATATGTACAATAATTTTTGACCACCGATGTCCCGTGTTATATTATAATATTACTACTCAATAATTTACATTAGTGGTGCATTGGCGACTGGCGAGTCCCGTGCGGATTGTTTGCGACGGGCGTCAAAAACCTAATTTCCGTTGGTTGGCAAGAGAAAAACAAAACAACGTGTATGTATGATGAATGTATTAAACGACCGGTGGAAATCTTCCATAATACAATTTCAGCAGGTGCCCTGCACTAAATTCAAACCGAACAAAATGTATAAAAATTATAATATATCGAACCGAACTTTTTAATCGTATGTGTCGAACTCTAACCGAACAGCCATAACTATAATAACACTAATAACTCATAAGACGTATTGTATATTTCTATCGGGTAACGAACTAATAATAGGTAATAGGTAGTATTTAAACACACAATTTTTATTTTATAGGTAGGTTTATAATTTATAATGTATAATATGATGTAAGTATATACTCTTTAATAGTATAAAAACATGTATGAGCAGTATAGTATACATTTCAAAACCTTAAACTACTCACCAAAATAATAATCCCCAGTTTGGGAACCTCTGATTTACATATATTGTATATAAAAAAAGAGAAATGTTTATATTTTGTAATAAATGAATAAATATGATTTTCCAATGCTAAAAAAATCTAAGCATACACAAAAAACATGTGGTATGATTAAAATTACAAAAAGTCATCATTTTATATCTAAACGATTAAAAATGTGGTGACCTTGCTTAAAAAATCACCCTGGTATAGTAGATATTATATTATGCTCAGTGTGGGGGGGAGGGGGAACTGGGAAGTAAAACCAAAGCTGTTTTTGTCTTGGAATCGCCCGCGGATTATTTACGGTTTCAGATTAAAATAAATACAATATAAAACAAACAACGCGAACCAACCAACGAGGAACAGTGAACATATTGTTATATAAATTTAACTTACGCTCATACTATTATAATATAATATAGTTCGTTGTATGTTTATTATTATTACAATTTAAGACTCGCCGTGGTAGATTAGGCCTGCATTATATCACGACGACCGCCATGCCACAGCTACAGCTGATGTTTGCGGAATAAATTGCTCGGTCGTTGCATGTGCTGGGTGATCCGTGGTTAAGGGGAACTTTGCACCCCTCGACGGCACGGCGCCTTGCCAGTTTGTTACATTTACTTGTACCAATATAATAATAATATTATAGTGTTCTGTACACATAATTCTATTGTCATTAACTATTAATACCGAAGTCTGCGCGGACCATCTGCGCTGTATATACCTGTCTGTGCAGTTTGCATTTTATATTTATGAATATAATATATTTATTTTTTATATATATAATTGAGGGACATGCGCATTACTGCATCATCCAAAATAAAAATAATCTTATTAGGTAAGTCATAATCATTCGTAACCAAATTATAATTGAAAACAGCTTAGACATAATATTTTATACAATTTTCAAATTATTTTGTTTCTTTTTTGATTTTTTCAAGATATTTGAAATATTTGATTTTTTAAACAATTTTTTGATCACCAGGTTATGGTCCCATATAAAAATAGATCCTTTCATGTGTTGGTCCATGATGCAAGTCTATCTTCAATTATGTTTTCCTACACACCAGGAGTCCAGCTCAGAGGCTGAAGCAGAAATTAATATATATTTTATTCATTTTGCAGCTTCATTTTAATCGTCTAAATGTATGAATGAAAAAAATTATGATACAAAATTAATTAATCTTATAACAGCATCAAATTATGAGATTATCCTTAATATTATTGTTATTGAAGTGTTATTTGTGTTGGTACAAATTGATATTGTTATAAAAAAAATCATCATGATAATATTATTTTGGTTTTAGGTCTTCACCCCTATATTTTTCTTTTATACAAACAACCAGCAAAATTAACATTTAAAGAACCTCGTATATCGAACAGGTAGTGTATAATAAGCAGTACATCGTACTGGGAGCACAAACAAAATTATTAGCAACAATTTATTATTACTTAATACTTATTAAAAATATTTTGTCACTGTCATCTGTCACAACTCGCAACGTTTACAACTCGCATATTCGCATGCCAAGCTGTTTTTTTAAACTGACAATCATTTGTTTTAAAATTAAAATAAAACTTACATTATTTCAACGATTCAACTTACTAGGCACTAGGTAAGTAAGTACCTTATTTTATTTTTAGAAACAGGTAATAGTTACATAATTTGTAAGAATGTACCTATTTGTATTTTGTTTTATTTAGCTTACAGCCAATATATAATAGTCTAAATTATATAAAATTAAAAATACAAAACTAATTTTTTCATTAACTAAATTTTTATACAAATTAAAATAATTATAATATAGTAAAACATTTTTATACAACAATAACATTTTTTTTTTACTAATTTTATTACAAGGTATATATACTCTATATATACTAATATATATTTATCCACAAGGAAAATGATTAGTTTTATTTGTAAAATTTTGTCAAAAATCTATCCTCTCTTGTTGTACCTACATTTTAAAGTGTTTCGTTCATTAACATCTTATATAGGTAGTAGGTACTTATGAATGCTGTGAGAGTCCTTGTTCACATATTTTTTCATCATTAACAAAATTTAAAAGACATGTTATTAATAAGCATGAAAAACAAAATACAATTTCTAGTAGTAAATTTCGATTAAAGTTGTCTGTCCGTGAAATGTGGACATTTATCCATTATTTTTCATTAATGATAGGAGATCTAATACCCCTAGATGTTGAAGTATGGATATTCTTTATAAATTATCTAAAAATGATTGATTTGCTATTATCCTACTATTTTAAGGAAAATAAAGTCTTACAACTTCAACAATTAATAAAAATAAACAATGATAATTATGTTAAATTATTTAATGATACCCTTAAACCAAAACAACACTTATTAGTACATTATCCAATAGTTATACGACAATCTGGCTCTCCAAGACATTTTTGGTGTTTTCGATTTGAAGGGAGATACATAAGGAGATGAAAAAACGAGTTTCATCATCCCTAAAAAATATAACATTAACATTAGCTAAAAAATTCCAACTAAAATATTCTTATTTTCTTATGAAAAGTCCAAAGTCTGATTGTTTTTGATAAAAATGAGATAACTACAAATTAAACACTCCAAAATACAATATTTAACAGAACTAATTTGCAGATAGTTCAACATAAAATGTACAAAGAAATACATTATCGTGGCCCAACATATAAAGCAAATTTATATTTAATTCAGGGTACTAGTCAACATTTTATCTTCGAAATAAGTGCTGTTCTTTTAGTAATCAAAAATAATAAAATTATGATATTAGCTAAAAAGTGTTTATTAAATAATTTAAACTAACATTATCTGGCTTACGAAATATCTAATGAGCCACAAATTTATGATGAACTATCGATAAATAATATTGATACATTCAGTGGTCCACCCTTAAATATAATTAAAATTTCAAATTGACAAACATTTGTACGATTAAAAGAATTTTTTTAATAGTTATGAATGTACCTATACTATAGTATAGTTAACTTTTGCAAATGTTTATACTAAACTTGTATAATTACCTTAAATATTAAGTTTCTTTTTATTCTAATTGTTTACACTTAACAATTAACATAACTAAAATTTGTCAAACTAGTTTGTTAAAAAATGATAAAATAAATGCTGATTGCATTTAATAAAATATTAAAAATATAAAATATTTTTTGCTATCGTAATAAAAATCTTTATTATAATAATACATTTTTTATCAAACAATTTATCAATTCCATACCCACTAATATCATTTTATCAAATTAATAAATACTTAATGGGGTCATTATTAATAAATATTTTATTAAATTGATCTATTTTTTTTTATTTTTTGAATTTATCGTTATTTTTTGACTTTTCGTTGAGTGCGTCATGATATTTTATGTAACAGTTATGATGTGGAGTTTACGAATAAAATGTTCACCCGACTAACCCGCGCCGTGGTATTGCATATTATACAATATTTAGATTTTGCGGGGTCCTCGTCCCTCGGGTTTTTTACTTGTATATCTATTATGTATATCTTGTATATATATATATATATATAGTATCGTGTAATGCGTGTATGCGTATAATATGCGCACGACTGATGTGGTCTATGTAAATTTTATGGTAATTCGTTTGGCGCGCGCTGAACGCCGGGCAGCAGTCGCGGCGACAGACTTTTTAGTTTTTTCAGTATATTTCGTGTATATATATATTATATACTTATAGGATGATATAATAATAAATATATATATTCCACGCGTGCTGCAGTAATGTGCATTATAAAATGTATAACACGCCGACCAAAGTATATTCGCATAAATATAAACATAAATTATATTGTACGCCACGCTTTAGGGCATTAACGAGTTGAAAAGTTAAAGCCTGCTACAAGTTAGTTTTAATTAAGTCACATATTACAGTAAAATTGTGTAAAACGAGTTACAGAAATTTTACTTTGTTTTTAAAAAAATATTTTAATTCAGTTAATATTACGGCACCAAGTATATATGCGGCAACTGTGATTTTTTTCCCGTTTCCGTTCGGTGGTATATTTTTATTAAATGTAATTAATTAATGCATTATGACAATAGGTTTTATTTGAAGAAAATGTTAAATTTATTATTATTTAAAGAAAAGAGTTAATAGAAGGAGGGGAAGGATGGAACCAGTTATAGCGGTCAATGATGACCAGGCCCCAATACAGCGGGTGTTGCGGTCTCCGGAACACTTACAGTCTCCAGAGCAAGAACATTCCACTCAACTTGAAGATTCTATATTAAGAGTTTTATCGTCTCCAACAAACTCGATAGTGGAACTGATATCTCCAATGTACCTACAGTCAACATCAAAAGAAGGTGGGTATAAAAGTATATACATTTATATTCAATAGTTAATCACTGACTAAAGTAAGTTACCCCAAAATCTTCTTTGCTCGGGCCTCGGGGTAAGTTTAAATCCGGCCCTGCACATAATTCCAACAATAATAATTATTATTATTTACGAAATAACGAAATAACGCACATATATAAGCTGGTTAAATTATTATAATAAACGCGATCGGCGTGTAAAAACCATTAATCTGAAACTATAATTTTGATCGGCGTGAAAACCGTGAGTGAATAATTAATATAATAGTATACATAAGAATAATATTATGGTAGCGTATAGATGCGATAACACCGACCTTCAAATAACCCTTCGAACCGGCTTCTGTATATATTATTTCAATACTTTTGCAATTATATTTATATTTAAAAGAGCCGGTAAAATCACAATGACATGACGATAAAAATGCCAAGCCGTAATATATAGCAGGTACGTTCTACAGTTCTACACGTATATAATATATGAAGATCTAAATGACCGAATAACAAACATCGAGAGCACGTAATCTATACTATATCTATATCTATACTTATTATATAAAAAGAAGTTGTTAGTTGACGTTGAGGGTAATCACTGGAACTGCTGAACCGATTTCGAAAATTTTTCACCACATTCTTTGTGAGTGTCATTATTATGAATAATTAAAATAAACGTGTAAATTGTATACCTATATGACTATATATAGATAACGGCACGACGACCGTTGGGTTTCAAGCAATGTTATTTAAAATAGAAAACTGCATCATAAATATGGAACAATTTAACACGTGACTAAGTTCTATTGAGCGTAATGATTAAATTAAATAATCGAGCACTAACGTCCAGACTTTTATAATATCTGGCTAAAGCATAAAATATTTGATATCATAGATGTTTATTAGTTACACATCACTATATTTATGCCCATAAACAAACATTATAAAATATTTATAAAATTTATTATTATTCAATTACTTGAAACTATATTTAAAAAATGGCATTAAAAAAAACTCTTATTCATTTAATTTATAATTTTGCTTCATTAATACATATTATAATAGAAATTATAAAAAAACTTTTTTTTAAATTATTTATTTATGCATCGAAAAATTCATCAAAACAAGAATATCACAAAAAAAAAAATAAATAAAACGTAAAAAAACGGATCTAACGATAATATGATATAATTTTAAAAATTGCAAAGCAAACTATTAATATATTTTAGTACAAGGCGTACTAAACATAATATTATGGTTATTTTACTAATATATTATGTACAATAATATGCATATAGAGACATCGAATGGTAAAATATAATATATTGTATGTTTAATATATAGACAGAAGACGACGAAGAATGGTTCTAACAGAAAAAAAAGGGTATGAATGAAGTTTAGTTCCCTAGAGATTTTTTCGATTTTTTTCCCCCCAAAATGTATGTTTTAAATCAATGAATACAAAAGTTTAATTAAAAAGTTCTCGCAAATTATTATTTGGAAGTTATATCTTTCCAAAGTTTAAGATTTTACGTATTTACGCATGCACTTTGCTTTCCTACGTTTTCGTATTGGATGGTCGCCTCTTATTAATTATGTTATTTTATCTTGTTATAATATTATCTAAAGTAGTTTTGATGAAAAACATAGATTAATAAACCTGTGACCAATGTGTCCTACACGGTGTTCGAATTGGAAAAATTAAGTAGAGGAGCTCAATCCAAAGATTTAAAACTGCGTCCCAAGGGACTCAACACAGACCCGTGGGGGGTCCCCCGTTCAAATAAACAACATAGTAGGGGTACGCGAAAAAAAAATAAAAATAGGAGGGGAGCTCCGTCCCCCTGCTCACCCTTTGGACTTGGATAGTATTTGATTAATAAACAATTTTTTTTTCTTTAAATAAAAAATTATTTATCCCATCAAAAAGCTTAAACAGTGTAATATTTAAATTTTTATTATAGCTAAAATATTAACAATACATTGGCATCATGGTTATTTTTATAAGCTTTTTTATAAGTTCAAATTTCGTCAAAACCATCAGTTAATTTGTACAACACGTATAAAATATTAATTGTACATAGCTAAGGCCAGACAATTTATTACAAGGTCTTTCATACAAGTTGTTCATACTTTTACCTAAAAATTACAGATAATTTTAGGAAAATTGGTATGTAAATACAATGTTTTTTCAAAAATGAATTCATTCTGGTAAGACATATATGAAATTTATGTCTTGCTATAGTTGACAGTTAACTTGATAAATATTTCTTGAAAAAGTAATAATAATACGGGTAATGGGGGGGGGGGGTCAGCCCGTTATCCCTCCCTGTGGACGCCTACATATTATAATATGTGATATTTTGACTATGAAATTCGTCGCTCAATATTATTTTTTAATACCTATTTTATTTCCATCCATATTTAATAACAAGTACGAATCTAAAATAATAAATATTCTATACGCGCTGTTGGTGTATAAAAAAACTCGTTGGTTTTTTACGAGAGGAATACCGAAATTTTTTTATCATTATTACATTATTATCATTCGAAAATACTTCACACACGATTACGGACCACCTACTTCAACAAACTACGTACAGTAGTGAGCACCAAGACCAAGTATTATACATTAGAATTTTTTTTTTAAATGTAAAAAACGCGTTTAATACGGACGTCGTCGCCGCCGCCGCGTGTAGCTGGTGCCTATATTGTGCGTGTGTGCACCATGTATATTGTGTAACGAACATACCGAGTTTTTTAAGCGAATACCTTTTTTTCCGAATTATATAGATATAGATATACGCGTATCCGGTAGCTTCCGACTTACTCTTCGTCTCTATTCATCGTTCGACCGTGGCACAATATGCGTGTGATGCAACAACGACGGCTAAAAAAACACACAGCAGTATGCGTTACAAATCAATTCCGGTAATACTGTGCTGCAGCAGGGCGCTATAGCATTGTGTCGGGCGAACGGCGAAAAAATACTATTTTGACACTTTTTTATGCGCAGTCGTTAAAAAAACACACGGCCGTGTGCTATTGTTAAAATTAACCCAAAAATTGCCCATTAATAATTGTTGTGCGTTACATCGCAGCACCCGATGGCCCCCGACGACTCGTTTGTCGGCGCGTTTGTGAAGAACAAAAAAAATCCAACTCTCCACGCTTTATTATCATCGCACACACAAACTGCGCGTTCCATTCACTGTGTTGTGTGTGTGTATTGTGTACGATTAATATTATTATTATATGTTTCGAATTTTTATACAAACATTAAAACGTAAATAATAATAACGAATAAAAAACGGAGAAAAAAATTAGGGACGATGGCCAGCGGACGCCCCGTGGTTACGGATAAAAAACGCACTGAGCGCACCACCCATATAAAATACCTATATGTATGTACATTATTATGCGTGAATGGACGAAATCTCCAATTAGTTCTCGTGCCAGCTAGCGTTGAAAAATACGATTTACGATGTTGAATTAATGATTATTTTTTATTACGTTATTATTATTTGTAAATTGTCTAAACGAGACTGTCGTATATGTATATACACATTATATATGTACATATAAATACACGCTGTGTTCAACACTAGATACGATAACGGACAGGTGAGACCGTTTGTATTATCAATAGTGTAACTCAGTATACCTAATTTTCATTTCTCGAAAACATAACTTATCGACATTATTGTTTGTTTTGGATTCTCGACAAAACAAAAAAAACGAAGCGTGGATTTTAACAAGTTCGGAACTAGGCATATGAATATTATGTGAGGGCTCAAATACGAGTTCATTAAAGTCGTTTATCGCACAGTATATAGCAGCAGGGCTGAAATTTTTAGAATATAATATTTTACCAGCAAACTACTACAAAGGTTAATGTAAACACCCAAGGTTTTCAATAAAAAAAAAAAAATCGATTCGTAAAAATGTATCTTTTAGGTTTTTAAAACGCAGAACATATAATTGACAGAATCTCTTCAAGTTCTTCGATCACCTCAAATCTTAACATTTTTGGACACAAAACCGATAGCAATTTAATATTGGGCAGTTTCCCAATACACAAATTTGTATTGATAATTATCATTATTGTCATCCATAAATCATAATCCTCATAATTAATAGAAGCAGTTATTATAGTATTACGTATAGCAGCCATTATCAAATTAAATCATATTAAAAACCACTATAAGTACAAAATATATTACAATAATTATTAAATAATTAAATTGCAATTATCAATTACCAATATGGCAATATACAGTATAAAGTAGTTCTGTGATTTAAAATTAAAATGAAATAACCAAATTTACCAAAAATAATGCAACAATGTATTTAAAATACATGATATTGTGTTGTGAACGCATAAGATAAACTAACATTTTACGTTCAGCAGTTCCAATGTATGTTGTTATTTATTAGTTGTTAGCTTACATAAAATATAGAGGGAATTCACACACTATTAAACTTATAGATAAGAACAAATTTTATGTATGACTTATCAATAATAATATTATTTTAATAATCATCATTATAATATTAGCTTAAGAATAAGTTATTAAATTAAATTGCCTAATATTTTAGATTCTGAGCGGAGCGATAAGTGAAAGTGATTTTAATTTTATATTTTTGTAGATATCTATTCCTTTATTAAAATAGTCTAATTGTACTCGATAATTACTTAAAAAGTCTGTGGCAAGTAATGCTGGTCCTGCAAAATTTGAGACAAATATAAATTGTGTTGGAAAAAGCAATATTTTAAACGCTATATCAATTTCCAATTTACCTATTACTTGATGAACGTTTGAATAATAATGAATGTTATTCTTACTATAGATTATTATAATATCCGTATTACATTCTAAAAATGAGTAAGTAATTTATTTATTTATTATTATTTAACGCTCGTTAGGGAAATTTTACAAAGTTAAATATACCTACTAATAATTAAAAATAGTTTTAATAATTTACAAAACACATATTAAGACTTAAGACTTAAGAGGACGCTATACCC